TTTTTTTGTCTGTAAATCGATCAAGACTCTCCCTACCTACTCTGCTTTTTAAACGATGGGGATTATGATGATGATGATGATAATGATGATGATGATGATGATGATGATGATGATGATGAGGATGACGACGACGATGATGGTGTAAATACATGAATTATCTCGTAGTTTCTGAGTCTACAGCCCACCCAAAGTTAAGAAAGGTTACATAAATGGCACAATCTCCGAGTTTCATCTCCATCTCCGATGGAACAGAGCAAAGCTAAAAAGGCGGGGAACTTTTAAAAGTTCCCAAAGATCCCTAGCAGAGAGCCAACCTCTGAGGATATGGACCAACAGAAACTCTGAGGATATGGACCAACAGAACATAGTACAATGTGACACCAAATTAATCACACTACACATTGAACAAAGGTAAAAACACATCCCAATGAAGAGTTCAAAATCTTTATTGAATGTGATTTGCATGATTGAAAAGGTCGGACAGGATTCGATGCTTGGGTAAATGGACGTAGCATAACAAGTGAAACATTTCATGACCTTTGTGCAAATGATTTTCGATAATCAAAATAACATTTCTGTTCGTAATATACAATACTAGATCTCTGTGTGTTAGGTAAACTTGTATTACAATGTATAATATGTACAAATCTGCAGAAATGAATATAATGTTACAAAAAGATCATTGAATTCATATACTATACAGGTACTTACTCGTTTGAATGTGATCTTTAGGGACATATTAATATTGCTATGGAAAACTATTGGAAAAATTCTAGGGCAAAGAAGATGAGGAAGAATTTATTACGCCAAAACATCGGCAAGCTGTTCAAATGTCCTATGCCCAGGAGCAACTTTCTTCAGGAGAGAGGAAAGTCTGTTTCACTCTTGTAGAAAAAGTACGTACAGTTTATTTGTTGTTGTTGCTTTTTTTCAAAATTTTCAATCTGAATTTCTACAATATATTCCTCAAGTACATGAACACAATACAATAAATTATGAAACTGAAGCATGCAATTCTTTAAAAAAGAAGAATTTTGGGCTTAATACTCTTGAACAGCTAGCCAACGAAAAGGGGATGTGCGAGTTGTAAGTTAGGAGTAAGGAAGGAACATTTATATGAGAGGGTGGGGAAGCAAATATGCATGTAAATGTTGTGTTGTGGTATGAGTTTTCACGTCTTATAACACGATGAGACAATTCAAAAGGCAGTCCTGCTGAAGTCGAGACCCATCTCCGATTCGACAATGTTAAGTAGGCGGAAAGCCCTGGAAATTCAACAAAAGAGTCTAATACAAAAAAAGTGGCTAGATGAGGTTTAACTAGAAAAATCTGCACCATAGACAAGCATAGTGCCAACTGAGCTAACGAGCACTGTTGGTGGGCGTTTTTTGACCCAATAGAAGAACAACGTAGCACGTCTCTTCTTAACATGAAGACAATAATAATAATAATAATAAT